TCACGCTCTTATCTCTCCTTGGCAAAAGCAGCCCTGCGCTGACAAACTTCTTGCCGGTTRTTCATTAACCGCAAGAGGCTTGTTCCCGAGAGGGAGACAGCCCCACCACGGATTTACATAAGGGCACGGGCAGCTTGCCTGCACGGGAACCCGCTCCTGTTCTTGGAGGCAGGCTGYGGGCAGAGGCGCGGGGACCGGGACCCGCAGCTCTGCGGTTCAGAGCAAGCACAAYGTGGGACAGCGGTGTTTCCCCGTGCCAAACTCCCGTGACTCCTGCGGATCCCAAAGGGWGGAGCTGCCTTTGCGCTCACCAGTGTTCTCAGGGAAGGAGATGTCCCAAGGGCCACAGACACAGCTCCCCCATGCTGCTGTGGGGCCAGTTTCTCAGCTCTCTCCACAGAGCTCGTGCCAGTTCACGGGATACGGGAGGCCTTCCAGCAGCAAGGTCCCAGTGCACCCAGCCCATCACATGCTGCTCATCCACGCATCATTCCACACATTATTCCACRCAGCTTCTCTTTTTTTTCCCATTAGTGGAAGCTAAATAAACCTTTATCAAACCACTGAGAGCTAGATATTGCTCAGATAAAAAGCCCTTTCCATCTGTAAATTATTTTTATTTCCTTTGAGCTTAACACTGGTATCAAGAAATATCCCTTGGTCAAGTGAAATTTTGCGTAATAAAACTCACCAAATCAATACTTCTTCTAATAAGCATAGATGCCAATGAAATAACTGCTGACTCTTTCTTGGCATTCTTTTTTAAAGAATAATCTCTGTACACTCACCTCTAAGCTGTCATTTCCTAACCTTTCCTTTTCCTTTGTAACTGAAGGACTTGTTTTCTTGGGGAGAATAGGTTGGAAAAAATATATGTTCCTTAGTAAACGAGGAAATTCTCCTGCAGCCACCACCAAGTCAGACATTCTTCCTAAAAAAGGCAGCTACATCCCTGGCCACATTCATTAGCTAAGGCCCTTGGTAGCAAGAGAGGCTTTAAAGCAACAGCCAGACTGCCTGCTATGTCCACATTCGTATACTTTCACCTTAGTAATTCTATTAAAACAGTCACTCAGTCCTCAGCATGGATTATTTTATGTTTACACAAAGGCAGTGTCCAGAGATTTGTTGCTGTTTTCTTTTTAGCTGGAGAAAGTGTTTATAGAAGAAGCAATAGCCTTTTATCAGACTAACTGATATGGTTATGGAGGGGCAGGAGAAAAGAGAGGGCAAATAATCCCCGAAGCATCAGACAAGCATTTACACATACCAGCACTTTCTCTGGAGGTTTTTATAGGGACTCAGCAGTTCAGCCACTTTGTAGCTCTTAATTCCACGTCAGGACTAAGTTTGCTCAGGAACAACCATTAAAAAAACCACCACTGATCCACGCAGCCATTAGCAGGACTGTTTTCTCCTAGATATCCCTTCTCCCTGCCCGTATTTCTGAGAGCTCCTGTACTAGCCCAGCCCACTGGCTTCCCTTGCTCTCCCTGACACTCTGTCCAGGCACTCCAGTTATTGTAGTGACCACGCTTTGCAAAGGGGAAAGCACAAACAGCAGCTGGGTGCATCAACTGCACCGAATGCTCGTGTCCTGCTTTACAAACCCACACTAACACGTGTCCATTGCTCYCAAGGGTGCCTGCTGCCAGATTCCTAGGAAATTCCGCTTACCAGTTGAACTTACTTGCTTCTTCACGGATGGATCTCAGCGTCGTTTTCKCTCCACGAGGCGGATTTTCACACTCATCTTGCTTTCTTTGCATTATTACTTTGTTATTTCTTTCTTTGCATTCAGTCCCTGCCCTCTCCCTATAGCTTTGCCGAAGATCCCCTCTTAGCCACCACTTTTGCACTAACGCCCTTCTTCTCACAGTGGCATGCTAAATTCAAATACCTGGTAGCTACGAGTGCCAAGCTGCCTCCTCTCTCTTCTTTACCACAGAGAAAGGAGCTGGAGCTTGCTCCAAGCTGAGGCTCTTGCAGTTTGCACACCTGGTTTCCTAGGGCAAGCGTCAGGTTAGCTGCAAGGGGCAGCGATGTTCCCCGAAGTTTTTCTCCCAATCCATGGAAGGGTGAGACACAGACCAGASAGGGCTACCGAGGGGACATGCGGCCTCCAGCAGCACCCGAGCAGTTCCACAGAACCCTTCAGGCAGCTGCAGAGATCAAGTGGCCCCATCGTCTTCCTCGTCGCCCTGCAGCAAGGGTTACAACAATGCAGCTTCTTCCAACTTTCAAGCACACACAGTCCTTTGGGACAGGTCCTCAGGCAAATCCCATTACCACCATTCTCCAGGTCAGGCTCGGGAACAGTCACATACACCAGTCATGCTTCTACATCCAGTTTATACATAGTGCCATACAATATACAGAAGTTTTTATATACATATATCTTTATATAATATGCTATATTAATCTGTATCTTTCTTTACAGCAATATTAGTTTAGATCTTCATACGTAGGTACAAAAAGTCACATGAGAATGGCACATGAAGAGTGCTTGAGTTTCCTTAGAGTCTTCATGCTGGGGCAGCTCGGAGCAGGGATCCAGAGGGCAGCATTCCTGGGAAAAGCAGGGACCTTGAGCATGGGGGACASAAGTTCCTTGGTGCTTCCCCACTCATTGCATATGAAAGTGCTCTAAACCCAGAACAGCTCAGAGCTCTCCAGAATTTCTTTTTCCCCACATATGCAAAAGGCTTTAGCTATAAGGAGACAGTTGGGRTGAAAGAGTTAATTTAGTAGCTACCTAATCGGAGTTGCCCCAGCACATGATGTGGAATAGGTGACAGAGGCAGGCAAAAGGGCTTTTCCCATAGAGGCATCAGTGTCTGCTGAGAGAGAGAGGTGTGGGAGGTAAGGGAGCTATTCCATGGGGAGCAGCTCCTTCGAAATACAGCAGCTGGGACCCTGCAGCAGGGAGGTCATCCAGCTGGGACCCCCCAAAACAGCTGGCAGCAAGGAACAACAAAAAGGAAAATTTAGAAGAAAAATGAAAAAAAAAAAACCACAGAGAAGCAGCTACTGCCCAGCTTCTGCAACCTCTGCTCGGGCAGAAGAGGCAGTACTAGGGGCTGCAGAGGGAAGGAGGACGCAGCAGCAGACAGCTGAAGGAACGGAAAGGGTCTTAAAGTGCAGAGTGCTCCTCTCGTGCTGCCCCATGCGCGCAGACGGCGAGGTGGAACTCGTCACCAATAACCCCTGCACTGACACCAGTAATAACGTTGGGCGGTAGGACAGGAACTGGGGCCCGTTCCCTCCACCGCCCGCTGCAGCATTTGTGGAGGGGGAGCTGGAAAGTGGCAGCCTCGGTAGTTGCAAACGATGCCGTTTCCCCACGGACGCGGCGGGGATGCTGAGAAAGGAGCTCAGACCCAAGGAGGTTGTGGTAGTGGTCTAGCAAACCCACAGGAACGGGATCATTTTTGGAGGCACGGCACCTCCCAAGGTCCCATTAAGACAGASTGTAGAGGCAAGTGCCACTGAAGAAGCCCAAGTGCTGAGCAACATGCACGCTGCTTTGGCTTGTTCCCCCCTCATCTTGGTACTGCTACGTGTATCCCACCACTCTGATATCTCAACCAGCATCAGGACAGCCTGTGACAGACAGCAGGGCAGCGGAGTGCCCAGGAAACCCAAAAATGAGGGCTCATTTTCGTGCTGATGTTACAGAAATAAGCGAGTAGCCTGATAGAGGTCCCCTTGTCATATAGATGTGAAGTCTAGATGGAATACTTCATCTTCAGCAGTTCAGCAAGGGAAAAACAAAGCAAGAGATGAAGTGGTGAAGTCATCAGGGTCTCAAACGCAGTAATGACAACAGCAAAAACGCCCGACTCCCTAACAAGAGCGCTTGCCTTTGGAAGCTATTCTAAAGCCAATCCCAAAACTGTCACTACACCAAAACTGCAGGGAGCAGCTTAGAATACGCCAAGGTCCTTCCACATACACCAAAGGGGAAAAAAACGGTGGGGAGAGTCCTCCCTTCCTCCCGTGCATCAACCTTGCCTTGGCACGGGCAGGTTTGGGCCTGCAGCGGGATGGCGGGGTGGCCGTGGGGCAGGGGTGAACAAGCAGCCTGCTCAAAAGTCAGACCTGCAACGTGCGAGAAGTCAGACGTCGCTATCGGCACTTGGAGATAAGCTGAAGGAGCGGGGGACAGCAGGGAAACCTGGCGAGGCCTAACTGAGGAGGGAACACGGGGACCCACAGGCAGAAAAGCGCCGAGCCAGTCTTTACCAAAGCTCCTTCCTTGCACTCGGACTCCGGAGGAGAGAGCCAGTGTGTACCAGTGGGAAGGGAAGCTGGAAGATGTACGATCCCAAGCACACGGCTCAAGCTGACGGGAAACCAAGGCACAGTTCCCGTGAGCTGAAGAAAACAAGCACGAAGCAACCCAAAACATCCATGACMGAGTCAGCAAAGCCCTCGAAGGCAAGCACACACACCTCCTTTGAGGAAYGCCAGGACTTACATGCTCTGATTATTGTCAGCTGGCAAGATTTCTCTCGCATGAGGAAAGCTGACAGTCTTGTTGCCCTGCAGAACATGCCACGCGCCACACCATGCACAACAAAATATCTCCTTCCTAAAGCATTTCTTAATTCTAATGACACAGAGCTTACAAATGAGCAGGGTTGGGTTTGCAGCCCACCTCAGCAGTGAGGAAGGCCCTGACCCTCGGGGAGGGACTGTAAAAACCTGGCTTGAAGCAAACAACCTGCAGCTTCTCACTACAAGGAGCACTGGCTCCTCCCTTCAAGGGAACAGAGCGGGCACTGAGGAGCTGGGAAGGTTGTCACTTAATACCAATATCCATTTCTCACACCTCTCTCGTWCTTCTCCAGCAATATTAGCTGTACRTCTGCCTTACCAGCAGGCAAAAGCCACCCAAACTAAGTCCTACCTCTCAGTTCCAGACCCTCTCTCTTCCCTTCTCTCCATGACCCATCCCATCTGCAAAGAAGGAGCAATGCAGAACACCCCATGAGCCAGGGCCCCATGCAGGAGRAGCAGCGTGGAGCGGGGCCCTTTGGCACAAAACATGTGGTTCATCCCCAAATCCAGCTCTGCAGTTCTGTACTGAACARCCTCCAGGAAGGATGTGCAAAAAGCCCGGGTGACGCAGTGCCCCCTTCGTGCACTGCTGCCCAAAGCTAATAGCAACAAGAGCCATTCCTGTTAAGCCTGCCTTGGGCTTTCACATGGAGCTTTCAGGTCCGGCACGCTCAACATTTGATCCATTTTCCTCTCGCTCCCCTTTCCTTTTGTAACTCATTCCTTCTGTTGCTACGGAGCTCGAACAAGGCAGCATTTAGCCAACCAATATTTACTCACCTTAGGCTTTTCTGATTAGAAAGAAGAGGATCACAGTCCTGTGCGTGTGCTGGCAGCAGCACAATTATATAACAGCTCTCAGCAAAAATCCAGCTGCAGCTGGGGATAATTTAAACACAAGAGGGGATAACAAGTATATGACAGCATGGAAGGATTTTCAGCAAAAAGAATCCCAGATTCCGCTTATCTGAGCAGAGAGATGTAAATGCACTGCTACAGACTCAAAAAAGGCTCAAGGAATTCTTTAGCAAACAAGGCTGCTACTTTTGCTAAGGGTTACTTTAAATACCTGCCAGTATTTCTGCAGTGCATTTAAAGCCCTGTAAGCCCCTYTATAAGCAAATTACTGGCATATGTGACTTAACGCAGGCAGTAATTGCAACCTTCATCCTTAAAAAAAAGGGAGATGGAATGCCATGGCTAACCTGGCTGCAAACTGAGCAAAGCTGCTGCAGACAGAGCGTTCTCATACTGCTGAGAGAAGAGAATATCCAAGCTGTGGGTCTGCACAAGCACACAGTGAGACTCAGTATCCAGCAGATCTCCAGCTCAGCTGATTCCCAAGGCAGATACAGAAATGCCTCTGTTGACCGTGGAAATGAGACAGAGCAGACTAGAATGCCTTCCAGTGTCACAGTTAGGCTGGACTTGGATAGAGCAGGCAGCATTTGTAAGTATAGGCAGTTCTTACGTGTGCATATGATCTATTCACTGGCAGAAACAGGGAGGCAGCTCGCAAACGAGCAGCTAAGTTTTAAGATGCCCCAATGAATTTCACGATATCTGGAAATACATCTGCCCAGCTTGTAAAACCTGCCGAAGAAGCCAGGCACACTTTGCATAGATGATCCRTATCTTGTTTTTCTCCCAGAAAGATGTGACAGCTGTTCTAGGAAAGGGGGCAAGTATAAGGTTGTCGATACACCAGCAGATGACCAAGACATGTATTTTTAACTAAGATCGAAGCTGCTTCCAGGCTTCTCTATACATAGATGGCTGTAAAAGGCAAACTGCAAACCCAAAACAACTGCATTTCAGCAGTGATCAACACAGGGCCATTGTCAARGAAAAATTTTCATCACTCCTATGCTCCAAGCTCTAAATTTAGTTGGGTGGCTGTGTGGGCAGTTCAAGGAAAACATTGGTCCTTGCCCACCCACAGACTARAAGAAAAATCACACATGAGGAAAACATCCAAAGGACTGAAGAAYAGATTACAAGAGGCCATTTTACAGATCAGCAAGATGCTCGCAGACATGTACAGATCCTATCATGCAGTCTGAGAGCAGAACACAGCAACATTAAAATGATTTTTAGAATGGGAAGGAGAAATAGTCAAAACCACGGAAAAGCTCCACAAAGCCGGGCAACATGCAGTGAGAGCGGGAACAAATCAGAAAGACCCCAGAAAGAAACAAAACTGCTGAAAGTAGAGGTTTAATGCCCCTCTAATTAGCCCCTTATCACAAACACACAGCGAAACTCAGGGGATGTGCAGCTTATTTGGAGGTGATAACCACAAAAAGAATCCCTCRGCAATGTAGTTGGCTGGGCTTGCCATCATTTGCCCCCTACTCTGTTCCCTTTGGCAGGAAGGACACGCTAATTCAGGCCGGGCAATACATCAGCTCCAAAGAGCGCATCCCCCGGCCGTCCACGGGCTTTCCTCCTTCTCGAGCTCCTTGGTTCATCAACAGCTCTAAACCCCGTTCCCGTTTGGCATYTTCAGCTGTTAGTGCAATCTACAGTAATGCATTCAATATCCTAAAAGCACAGAGATGGAGTTGGTGGATTGTTATATCTACCCTCACAACGAGCTTTCCCATCTCATTTCTCTGTACAGAACAGAATATCCCATATAACTCCTGTTCACTTTAAAGAATAAATTCCTTTAAGAAAATGCAGAAGCTGGGAATGACCATGGAAAATCCTGACKGGACACAAGAGAGGCAAAAGCACCTGCATCTAAGAGCACTTCAGTGCCAACAATTCTGTGACCTTTCAAGACACCCTCATCYGCCACAGAAAGCAACAGCTCTCAAGTAAAACAAGACAAGAGCTCAAAGAGGATAGAAAATGACTGGAAACCCATTCCAGTGTGTCTGCTGCAAATGCCTCCTGCATTGCCCCAAATGTTCCAAGGCCTCGGGATGACCTTCCACAGCAGCCTGATGATGCTGTCACCACCAAACACGTGAGGACAACTGCCCCATCCCACCCTTACACTTAACCAAGAGCTGCCTACCTGGAGGGCTGGGGAAGGAACAGTAAAAGCCTCACAAGAGTCTTTGACCACGGTGCATCAGAATACAAGGTTTCGTTTACTATGCTTTAATTTTAAGGCGCACAAAGCCCAGTCTCTGTCCCCCAGAGGCCGGATGCCCTCAGCTCCACTCCTTTATCCAGGAGCTCTGAACTGTGATTTGAGGATATGCCAAAGAACYGAGTGAACTGTTGGTGGTTTAGGTGAGGACCAGCGTGTCGAACACCACAAGTGCACTTGCAGCACGGCCTCTGTGGGATGCAACACCCCATGGAAATATTAAGGGAACATCTAGACATTACAAGGCACAAAGTGGCTGCAACACACCTTGAGAGTAGCAACTGGCAGCCAAGTGGTTAAGAAAAATGAAGAGGCTCCACGTTTTCAAAGACACATTGCAGTGGAGGAAGGGCAGAGAACGTAGGCAATAGTAGCAGTRTGAATCAAAGAGGTAGCTACATCCTAGCACTTAGTTTTAACTTTTCAGATAGGCTCTTCCAGGATGGAATGGAACACCAGCTTGTGCGAATGCTCCTACGGCACAGAAATTACGAGGATGAAGACCCCCAGAAAGACAACTTAGAGCAGAAATGCAAAGAACACGGGGTTAGGTTGTGAGGGGCAGCAACTGGAAAGGGTCTGTCAGGACRCAAGAGTGGCAAATGGTGACTATCCCTAATATGATGCAATAAGAACCTCAACGGAAAGGGTTCTTCTGCACCTTTCCTGCCTTGGTCTWTGGCAAGGTGGGTCACTAGCAGAAGGCAATTCGAGGCTTCTCAGAAGCAGCCTAACAGGCAGAGTGCAAACACAGCAAACAACCGCATGCCAGGCTGCCTCCCGATACAGCTGGAAGGGTAGGTAGCCACATTCCCCCGGATCCAGTCCCAGCGGCACAGAGGAGGGAACCAGTCACGCGCAGGATCGTGCATGCCAGGAAATAAAGGGGCTGCACGCAGATTGGAAATGACTTTCTAGTGCAATAGTGCTGTCTGGTAAACACAATCAGGTCACTCCTGAAACGCTACTTTCGTTACTTTGAAAGTAACGCTACTTTGAAAGTAAGACTTTTGAGCAGGGAGGAATCCACCTTCCTTGCTGAGTCGGCTCCCAGCTCCCTTGGGATGGTCACCAAGGGATGGTCACCAGCAGCTCCAGCTAGGCTCGGAGTGGGTGATCTCCTCATAACTGCCAGGGATCGAGATGCTTCTTACRTGAATGTTTGTAAAGTGCTTTGTAGAGATCAAGCTCTACCTAAGTGCCAAATTACTACTCACTTTCTGCCAAGGTTTAAAGCAGAAATGAACTCATTTTCCTTACTACCAAAATGTCAGGAAGTATGTGAGACAGCTTGTCAGTCTCGATCTTTAAACTACCTTTTCTCCCTCAAAAACTACCCAGCTTATTGTTTGCTTTCCTAGCCACCACCTTCTCAGTCTTTTTTGGATATCTGCAGCAATTCAGCCTTCTCCTGTGTCTGCAACAGTGCATGAGCTGATGGCACTTACACGGCTGTTCTACACAAGTTCCTGAACCACAGAAGCTCTCAGCAGGGGAATTCAACACCCTGTTCTTTTCTGATGGACCTGCCAAAAAGAAAAAAAAAGGTTTTTTTTTTTTTTTTTTTTTTTTGTTACTCAAAATAAAATACATTTTCTTTTACAAAGAATGCAGAGGGGCTTATTACCTTCAGTTCATGAAGTTATAGGTCACACTTTGAATCTGAACCACAGAGCATGGTTTCAGCATGGTTTTGAGTATGGTTTTGACCATGGTTTGCTTCCTGTTTGACAAAGCCCCTGCACTCCTAAAGGCCCTGTGAGGAGCTGAGGATACAGGATCCTAACTTGAATTGCTGCCAGGGACATCAAGACTCGGACACACAGCCCAGTTCAGCGTTTCCGTGCACTTGCTGAAGACTGTCAATGGACAGGGGTATAAAGTGCAACTGCTCTGGTGTGATGGCATCTGATCCCACTCTTGCTCTGCTTGTACAGCACCCGGGACACCGGAGTGCAGGTCCACGGCCAGAACTAGGAGTTACTTTTTGATGAACACAGCTAGATGTTATGGATGACAGGACCCCAGGCAGTGCTCAGGAAAAGTTCCACTGAGCTCATGGGAAGTACAGCATCTTCCCACGATGGAAATACCACAGCAAAGGAGGAGGGAAGAGGACAGTAACATGGGCACAAAACAAAAGTTAATTAGGAATTCCTTTTCCATGAGGCTGATTGGCAATTCTGCTGAGCTTTGAGCGTGTTTTGTTAGTTAAGGGATTTCTGYGGGTCACGGTATATTTAACTTCCCAGCTAGACGGTTCCTCTCCCGTCYCTGTCATCAGAACATTCCTACCATAGGAGAGCTCTGCTAGGCTGAGCTCTGCTCACAGAGGCTCCCTGCACAGCAGCACCTGGATAGCTTTTCCAGCTCTGCTAAAAYAAGGTATGGTTGGGCTATGCAATGCATTATCATGCATGGGGAGGCCGAGAGGGGAGGCCAGGTGAGAGACGCATGCAGCTTCCCCCGGGCTTAAATGCAAGGGGCTCTCAGGTCACCTTAGCCCTGCTTTAGAAACAATCGTACCAACGTCTGCCCATCCTCTCTCCCCTAAATTCCCAGAGGGAAATGGCACAGGAAGGAGAGAACGAACATGCTCTTTGTTTCGGGAAAACYTTCCTCTTTGCTTAATAAATACCTTCCAAAAAGCTTAGCAGCTCTGTAAACATACAAGAGATTTCAATACTTAGGAGAAGTTCAACTTTTCCCTGAACTCTCAGCGACAGAGGCCAGCACTGATGTGCAAGCACCGCGGGCAGGTGGGGTGAGGACCCCGCGGGTCCTGCCGAGGCTCCCAGGCTCTGCAGGGGCCCGGCACACGACGGTGAAGCTGATCCATCCACGCAGCTCTGAGATGAACATCCTGCCAGTCCCGCGGGAGCGACGCCAGCTCAGAGCGGTCCAGGAAACCGTGAGGTGACGACGGTGGCATCCAGGAGGGCTCCTTCTGGCACAGAAGGGGACGTGACAAAGGGCTCTGGCTCTCCAGAACAGAGTTCCCTGTCCTCTCAGAAGGTGGCTGGTGGTCACTGAGCACAGAAATACTCAGGGGAGAGAAAACACAGTGCCAGCCTGACTCTTGCTGTGCCTGGCCAGGGAAGGGGAGACTGCATTTAGGGAGAATACAGTCCCAATGGCTTTAAAATGGGAGAGTGTCCTACAAAAACAATCCCCATGGAAGTGTGACGAATTGGATCTTGGGCCAGAYCCAACATGTTAGTGCAATAGGGCCCAAAGTCTCAATCCGCTCATTTTCCAGACCATTGGAAATAGTACCGGGGGGGTGACCTGGTCCCCTTGCTTCTGCCTGTGCAACCCTTGAGCTTCAGAGAATCCACTCCTCCATCCCAGAGGATTCCCTGAAGCAGTACATCTCACTCCCACACCTCGGCAGGTGCCCTGGGGCAAGGAATCTGCCTCTTAATAGAAACCAGGCATGCTAAGGCAGGGGACTTGCATCTACCTTTAGAGACTTAGGCCCGCTTTGTGTAGTGGGCATCGAGAGGCAACGCTTCTTCTCCCAAATCAAAGCATGGGACCCAAGCACAATCCATCCTCCAGACACCACTGTGCTGCCACTGTGGCATCCCAGGAGGAAATGTTTCCAGGTGTCTCTTCTGACCTGAACTGCCCAATGATCAGCTTTTCCAAGCATTATCCCAGCACTCTGCCTACGGGATCAGCTCGCAGAGCCAAGCCCCTGTACCCTTGCACTAGAGGGCAGAAATCATGAGGTCCTCCTGCTTTGCAGGGCTGGTTACATGCCCRGAGGGGGTGGAAGTCCGGATTTTGTCAGTGGCCAGGCACTCCTGGCTGCTCACGCCTGTGGGAGTGATATCCATGAGTTCTCCGGACGAGCTAAGGGGGAAGGAGGGTGAGACAGAGATGCCCGACGAAGGATCTGTTGAACCTGCAAACAACCTCGGGGGCTTTGGGACTAAGTTGGGCTCGTATTGGGCCCTTAACAGGATCTCCTGATCACTGACAGACTTGGGCATCTCTGCAAAGTCACTGGAGCTGTCCGACACCATCATGCAGTAGATGTCCTGGAAGGAGCTGCTTTTGCTATCCAGATTAAAGAGGCTGTCTATGAACTCAGCAAACTCCAGCACCTGGGGACTGGGAACGTCAGCGAGCCGCCCGTTCTGGAGCGCCAGCTCCTCCCGCGGGGCTAAAGAAACGCGGTCCCCGTCGCTGCCGGCGCCCGCCTCGCTGCAGCGGCGCTGCGGGGTGGTTCCCCCGCTGCTGAGCACGGTGTCCGGGGCCTGAGTCTCCTGGGAGTGTTTGGAAAGGCTGTCAGCAGCCAGCAGCTCTGTCCGCGAGCTGAGCGAGGGGTTCTCCTCCGGGATAGCGGGGTCTATGTAAAAGCAGTGCGTCTCGTCCTTCTCCATGACCGCGTGGAGACTGGGGGAGCCCCGGATGCTCCGAAAGCCAGAGGAGCGCCTGGAATCGAAGCTGTAGAGGGATTCGTTGTCAGAGAGGCTCTCCATGGTCGCGAGAGGGGCGCGGCGGTCCTGCAGCTCCACAGACAGACGTTCCTTTGTATCCAGGAGGAGAAGCTCCACAGGGTCCTTCTGCACAGGGGAAAGTGCCTTTGTCTCATAAAATCCCTCCAGGCTAATTTCCGAATGGGACTTGCTCCTGCAAAGACAAACAGGGACAACGTGAGTTCACATCACCCCTTAGAGAACCACAAGCTGACRGAACGGCCACAAGAACCGAGGCTTGGCTACAGAGCCCCACGCATGCTGAGGGCGCTCTGGCCTWGTGCGAGGCCACCTCATACAGCCACAGGAGACATCTCCTTCCCTTCTCCCTCTTCCCAGCCGAAAGCTAACCCCCCACCCAACACCTTTACATCCACACTCCTCCCTGAACCTTACATTAGGAGTTAGGATAGAGAGACTTCAGGTAGGAGACATTAAAGGCCAGGTGTACAGCTAACCTACAACTATCTTCTCACTCTCYGAACCACTTCTGTCTCATGCTTTCCTCTCCTTCTCCCTGCTGGCAGTCCCTACCTTGCTGTCAAAAAGAGACTATTTTACACCACRATCCGTGACAGTTCAGCTACCATCTCCAATGGCAGGCTTTACACCRGGTAAAGAGCAATTTACTCAGTCTGTGTAAGGGAGGTAAAGATCTTGAGGAATACTTGAGGAACACAAAGAYTTTTACGGATCAGGCAGGTTCCTCCTGACACAGGGTCAAAGATCTGGGAAAAGAGCCTACACAAAACTGGAGAATACTGGCAGTCAGCAAATGACTGCCCTAAAACCAGAAACATCTGGCACAAGAACCCCGGGCTTAGCAAAGGACTGCTGGAGCTGTCCAAAGGCACGGGACAACCGATGTCCAGGGAAAGGCTTTCAACAATATTTGATGCAAGTGTTATTTCAATGGAGCAGACTGYGGCATGCGCATAGCTGGCTTTGCTAATGTGCATGAATAGGCTTCAAGTACCCTTGAAAGAGGTAAAGAGGGAATCCGACACAGTAATGGATCTTGAATTAAACACAGTCAAATCATAAATCTTCCTCCCTTACTGCTTTCCCAAAGCCTCTTTGCCCTCTGTCTCTCCTCCTTCCCCTTTCACACCTCTCAAGAATCGCCCCCTGCTTTACTCACCTCCAGATGAAGCAGTTCTCTAGACTGTTTCACTCCAGGGTTTGCTCTGGCTATGACAGGGAAATCACTCTCCTCCTCCCTGCTGCTTGACCTAATCCATCTTCTTGGATTTATTAACACGAGTTGCTCCCTCCTCTTGCAGTTTCAGTGCTGTCATTCTGCTCCTGTCTAAGCTCTCCTTGGCTGTCTGGCCATCATTCACTCTCTCTGTGACAAGAACCTTATCATTTTCATATTATTGACTGTCTTCTCTCTCATCTTCCCTTTAAATTTACACCTCGCTCATCTCATCTCACGGACACTCAGCTGCGTATCGCCTCCAGCACAGATCATCTCATTCCACCTCTTCCCACATCCTAATCACACATCACACAGCTTTTCTTTCAGTCTACTTACTCAAAACCTCCAAAGCAGAAGATTCCCTTGAAAAGAAACAAGCCTCTCTCAACATAGTGCCATCTTCTGTTTCCACCTACGAAGCCCATTTACTGTCTCCAGCTACGGACCATCTTCCTTCTCATCTTCTCACCTCTGTTGTGTTTGTAACTTTGCCTTACGTAGTGCATTTCTGTGCTGCAAGTCAGGTGCTCCATCTTAAAATGCTGAGACGTATCTTTGTCCATACTTTTATATTTATTTTGTAGGTCTTTTGCAAATCTTTGGTCCCCTTCAGCACCTCAAGCTCTATTTGAAAACATGCAAGGAGCCTTTCTGCCGTTTGGAGAGGAGAGCTGCTTATACCAACCGGAAAGAATGAGCTCRTCCTCACACCAAACCCTTGCAACATCCACTAGATGTACTGCTCAGCCGCTACCTTATGGTCGTTGCCAGTATGTTTATGGCTCAACCAGTCAGTTTTCATAACATAATCCCTGCAGGAGCATTTTTCAGAACACACCTTTCTCCCTTGCTTGCCTTTCCCTAGCCCGAGCTAGGGCTCTTCTCCTTCGGGCTCTTCTCCTTCACGAACACCACCAATTGCTTTCCCTTCACATCGGCATTGCCTTCTTTCTTATCCCATCCTGCTGGCCCAGAGACCTGTATCTGTGTTCCCATAAACTCCTGTTTATAATATTCCACAAGTTACATACCATAAAGAAACATTACGTGCCTTTTTTCTGGTAAGCTTATGGCAACCACAGCTTGCTAAGTAGAAGTCCTACACAGGCAGGCCGTGGATCTGTCCTTCCCACAAATGTTGATCACAATGACCCAAGAGGAAGAGGACCCACACTGAGAGCTAGTAAACCTCTTAAGAAATCAAAGATATGTCCTTACTTAGTACTGCTGTTTCTTCTGTCCACTGTTATGGCTCCAGTTCCAATCTGTATTGTGGGTCCACTAGGCAAGGGCTGACTCTGGAAGATCAACTCTGGGGTTAGATCCACTTCTGTAGGACTCACCATTACTTTGGCTGCAGATAGTAAAGCTGTTTTCCCCTTGTTGTAATTCTCCAGGACCTATACAAGGTAAGCAAAGAAACAGCAGTGYTTTACTGAGTGCCCTACCAGAAAATCAGCTCTGAGGAGGTGACTCAAGTTGCTGCCAGAAGCAGCCTTGAGGCTACATCTACAAGGCAGAGCTGCATGGCTGAGAACTGCAGTTCGGGGGCAAAGATCTTCCTGCAAGCACTATACATAAGCTCAGCCCACCCCACAGTGTAACACAGGGGCTGCAGCAGCAGCCTGTAAGGTTTTTGAACCCTCCCATTCCACCCTCACATATCACAGAGAGGCCCAGTTCCAAAGCAGCTCACTAGATACCACCTGAAGCACAACCTGAAGTGAGCAGGTGCTGAGAGAAGCAATGAAACACCAGCCAACCTCTCTCAYAAGTGTGGCATGGTATTTGGAAAAAGGGCCCAGTTTAGCACACTGCTGTTGGGATGAAGGTCTACATTCAATTTCCAGATCCTTCTTCATATGTGACTATAAACTCACCACATCAGCACTGCCATGTCAAGCTTCTCCTGGCCAAACCAGGGCCTCTGGTGYATTCTGGTCCAAGCCCCTGTTGTCCCACTAAATGGTCCCTCCCAACCTCTTGTCCCCCGTTCRCAGTGTTACCTTGTTGAGTCCTTCCATGACCACATATGGGAGGTGTTCATGCAGCATCGCTGGCGAGATGATCACTTCATTAAACGCCTTGTTGTCACCCCAGATAGCAAAATAAGTGGGATCCTCTTGCTCACAGCAACTAAAAGAGGAATTGGAATCCAAACAGAGCAGAAAATAGGGAGCAGGGGATGAAAGAGTAGGCAAGTATTTTGGTATACAAAAGTGAGAAACAAGAGGTTACAGAGAGGGGAAAGCAACAGGAGGAAAAAGACAGAAAGGAGAACTCCCTCGTAGACGGACTCATCTACTGGGGGATCTTCTTCAAAAGTAACTTTTCCCTGCCAGCCGCAGCCTGGCTTCAAAGCTCTGCACCCACTCACCAGCACTGCTCTGCAGGATGGTTGTGCACCACGTGGATGATGCGGCCGGGCGGGTAGAGCGGGGTGCTTGCAGACAGGGCAATGGTGAGATCACTGGGATGGGTCCAGAGGCGATTACTGGTTACCGAATTTTCCTCTGTCTCTTCAGGGAGCTCTGACTTCGGGATGCACTTGGTGGCACCCACAATGATTCGCCACTGTCCGCCACAAGAAAGGAGAGAAATGAAAGGAAAAAAAGGGAAGGAGTCAGAGAGAAGCAAAACTGTATTACCAGAGATTGTTAGGCAGGTTTATTTAAAAGGAAAACCTGAAAAGAATGGGGCTTGTGTCCCTGGTTCCTTAATCACGTACCCAAAGATGGAGGTGACCCTGCCCTGAAAGAAAAGTTGCTCCTTCCTCTCCCAATTTTGACCCTAAAGACAGCAAAATCTTGTCTTTCCTTCTATTGCCAGAAGTTTTCTTAGAGCTAGGAATCCAGAGCAAGGACATTTTTGTCTCCCAAATGATAACATACCAAACCTTCTAAAATAAATAAAAAGTGGAGAAAATGTTAAAATCTTCCAGCTTCTCTGTCTCAATGTGACAGTCAAGAAGCCTGGGTAGGAACAACCCTACATACATACCTCCAAACTGCAGACAGGCTGCTTAGCTTGGAACAGCATTATCCAGGCAGCACACAGGCTGTGTCCATAGAAACTCACAACTCACTTCCAAGACTGCTACCAACAAGCAAAAGCTACAGCTTTTTGTCTGCAGCACAGACTTCTCAACAAATTCGGGTGAGAAACTGCCTTAGTTCTGCGACACTGAACTCACGRCATGGGATCCAGAATCATGACACAGGGCTACAACCCTTGGACTACCCTGCACTCTGAGCACTCCAGCTGCCTCACAGCTCTCGGCCTCACTCCTGTGGCTACCTAGGCAGTAGTCACAGTGGAGCTGAGGAGATCTGGGGGCAGACAAGTCTGCAGTATTGCTGTGTTACACTAAGAGAACCTACCCTCACTGTTCAAAGATTTATATTCTGGTGTGTGTCCCCCTTCATTCCTACCTTTGGTTTGTTACTTCGCTGGAGAACATCAAGCAGTTGCCGGCGAAACCCCTCTAGTTGTGAGAGCCCAATCCTGAAAGAGAGAGGAAGAAAGTTCCTGCTTCGTTTGCCAGAAAGCTGCTGGCAGGTAACAGGGGACAGTAGCGATACTATAGGAATGAGACACTACAGGACACTACAGGAATGAAACAATGCCATAATGCAGCTGGCTGCAGAGAGGAGGCATCTCCCAGCACCAGGAAAAAGAGGCTGCAAGAAAMCAGTGCCACAAACACACACAAAAGGCAGCAACAGGACCAGAGGAGTGAACACAGGTATGGCTGAGGTCGAGGCGTAGATAAAGAAGGAGATGACACAAATGTGTAATCACAGAAAAAAAAGCAAGTGGAAATGATTCAATGACAGGAGGCCACTGAGCAGATAGAAGAGGAAGATGGAAGACAGCTAGATACACATAAATATAACATATATAAGACACCACTAAACAGATTACCGGATGGGCAAGATTTTGTCGTACAGGTTACCGAAAGGCACAATCAAGCAGTACTCAAGTAGTACTGTAGTACTTTTCCTTCACTGAATTCTACATGCCTAAGAAATGGCACAATTTATCTGAGGTCATGCAACARGGCAGAGGTGAAAATAATATCCAGGTTGCCTGGCTCCTAGTTCAATGCCCCATTAAGGATCAATATCCCGGGAGATGATGAAAGGTGAGAAATGTCAAGACACGGGAAATTAGGGAGCTGGTTCAGAGATGTGAGATGATGGGCAGCACGTGATGAGGGGCAAACAGTAAAACCACGAGCTGACAGCATGGGTTGGGGCAGAGCGTRAAAGGGCTGACCACACAGGCAACCAGAGAGGCTGCAGAGCCATGGCAGACACTACAACACACATATTTACAGAGACAGGACATTCACTGCGTTCTTCCTTACAGAAAGCTGAGATACAGGGGAGGGACATGCTCACACAAAGGTGCAGGAAACACCTCTATAAGTGTCCRTGTAAAAGATACAGCAATTCAGGTAACTAGGCAGACAAGAAAGAAGCACACGAGGAGAGGGAAATGAAACTGGACAGAGATGATCTGAGGGTTTCTGAGAGGAAACAGGTGATTTTAGTATAGAAAAGTAGGACGAAGGAATTCAGAGGCTTCTCAACTTGCCTGGGCACTAGATCTTTGCCAAGTACGACTGCAGTCACAAATTCTTTTGAATACTCCATGGCATCCTCACTGGAAGAGAAACAGGACCAAGAAGCAGCAAATAGGGTTTCACTGGCAGCAAGCTGCACTCCGTGCACAATTTCTGTCGCTGGTCTCTGAGAGACTTTCAGACATTGTACCTGGTCATACAAACAATCTGAACTGTTCAAGGCCTGTGGGACTGGCACCTTATCAAGGCAAGGCTGAAATCCACATCCTGTGCCCCAAGAAACATTCCTCCTTAATGGTATAGTGAGCCCTTCCTACAGCTGGAATAGCTCCTTCCTTACTTATTTCCTTGCATTTGACTCTGATATACCTAGGAAAGGAAGTACTGACAATCTATGCTTCATAATGATATCCCAAAAGTCTGGGAATAGGCAGGACACAAGAAAAAATCCAACACGTTCTTGAGACTACTCTGAAAAGACAGTKTGGGACTCAGATGGCTGCTTTCTGCAGTAACCTTAGCACCAAGACAAGAAGGAATGAAGTCTTCCATTCTATGATCTGGTTCTTCTCCAAACAACTCCCTTCCTAGAGACCTTCCTCAAGAGCAACCACAGGTAGAGGCCTGTGGCTTTAGGTGATTATTTAGGTGATTATTATAGGTGATCCTGGGCAGGACGTAGAGCACCACAAAGATCGGATGTGTGGCAGCCAGAGGAACCTCCCTGAGCTCGGAGGCAACTGAGGTGCACAAGGATCTCAGGAGGAGAAGCCCTGAACAGAAAACTGGCAACTTCTACGGGAACATTCTACAGAACAACTTCTCGACAGCCACAGATGATTGCGGATTGCTGTTATAACAGGGCATGCTAATGGCCAAATTAATTAGCAGGATGGTTAAAATACCCYGGCTGATGCAGGCACATATGCAGTAGCCATCACAACGGGCCTCTCACAACACATATCTGCTTTTAAGTGCTCCCCTGGTGTCTGGCATGATTAGAACGACTTTAATCTCACTCCAGGGCCGTCAAGAGGGATGTTTTTACTGGCTGCTATGGAATTAATATAATTGACAGGTCTGCTCCAATTCACAATAGGAGGAATTCATTGTACCTCTGTGTAGAGGTACATCTACCTGACGTAATCACCCTAGATTTCTCCAACAGCCAAAGGAGAGAAATAAAGAGCAGGAATTACAATCCATCTGACTTATATTAGGCACCCACTTTGTGCGTAGGATAAAAGAAATCACATCCTGAAAGRGCCCGTTTCTTTCTGCCAGCTGCAAAAGGAGTCCAAACAACTAGATCCACTGGAGACATCTATTTCTGGTCCCACACCTCCCATCCTGCCTTCCATGCGCAGCAGAGGGCACACTGTGCAGGGAATGATGAGAGAGGAAATCAAAGGCTGTCGCTCAGCTTGCATTTTCCACTCATCGGGGTAAAATTAGAGCTTTAGCCCCAGAGGACTGAGTGACAAACCTGAACGCTTGGATTCACAAACACGGTAACTCAAACTCCAGACTACAACACAGAACAAAGACTGGCAACAACCTTCTCAGGTCCTACAACTTGTGACTCTCCTATACGCAAAGACTACCCAAGAAAGAAGCAAAACCGGGATCTGATCCCGGTGCAGCACCTACGCACCCTCCCTCACCAGCCCTCCTGCACCACCACTCACCTCAGCAGCCCGCCTGGGGGGGAATACGCAAAGCACTTCAGTGACGGGTACTGTGGGCGCAAAAGGAAGGACAGGATTGCAGCCGTGCCAGCCCCTAGGGAATGACCAACCACAATCAGGCCATAGTGTTTTGTCCCTCTGCCCTGAAAACAAAAAGCAAAAGGAGAAATCGAGATCAGACTGAAAGCAAAATCCACACTAAACCCYCAAGCTAGTCCCTTCCTCTAAGCCGGAGATGTTTGCTCAGACTTAGTTATTTGGGAATTGAAAAAAACTTCTGATAAAACCTGAGTCCAGGTTCACAAATCTGAGCTCTCTTTGGTTCTAGAAATGATGATTCATTTCTGAAATTTCCTGGAGCATGCTGAAAACCAGAAATCTTGCAGTTTGAACAGGAATCATCTGAAGTCGAGATGTCCTCAGCAGTCAGCAGACCTACTCAGCTAACTCAGGGACAACACCGACCTCTCCGCACCCATCAAAATCTCTAAAGTAAAATATTATTCTTGATATTCAGAGTCTGGGGTGTTAGGCACAGCTCAAACCCAGAGGTCTACTGCAGTGTTTCCAAAGTCTGAGGCCTTCTCTGTGAGATCACAGCGCTTTTCTTCTCAAGGCATCTCTCAGTTGCCCTAACACCTATTACAGTCAGTGAGGTTAACACCAGGGGAGAAGTATGCTATATAAACCTCTGCTAATTTTTGCCCGAATATCTGCTGCTGGCAACTGTCAGAATCAATGTACTAGGTTAGCCAAAGCTGCACCACCTGCAATGCTAGCTTTGACCAGAACGCAGCACACACTGTCGCACACACAAAAGGAAGCAGGTCTTGTGTGTGTGTGACACTGTGTCACTATGTCCTCACCACTCAGCCAGCAACGAGCTCTGGGGCACATCAGGAAAAATTCCGTATATGTAACTGCCCACTCAGTAGTTTTTGTTTTCTGGGCAGAGAAGAATAAAGCACCATCTAAACAAGTCAGATGTCTATGTTTCTCTCCGTACACTCACCCAACATAACAAGCTGGACACTTTGGTGTTAATTTCAGACCCATTTCAGGCTGTTTATCCCACTTACCCTTTTCCCTCACCCGTTTGTTATTGCTAATTTGCTCTAGGCACTGCTCAGGCTAAGGTGTTTTTCAGGCACAAGAAAATGAACCAGTCAGTTCAGAAAAGGCCTCTCCAAGCAGGCACAGACTGCACCACTACTGACACGCAAGCGAAGGCGAGCTTCTCCAGAACATCTCTCCTGGGCTCTTTGATAGTGCTCTCAATCACAAGAAACATAGTCAGCGTGGAATCCCATTAGCGTCTCCAGAAAGAATCTCTCTAGATACTGGATTTTTGCTCCTGTTGATTTGTTTTTACTGTTCCCTACAACACCATTGCCACCAGAGGGGAGTTGTTGTAGCTTTGCCTGAGAACAAACACAGCAGCTCCACGGGACTTTTGGGCATAAGGCTTCAAAATAGAAAAAGCCCTGGAGGAATAAGTAACTAGCTGTTCCCTGGCAATCAAGAACAGTAGGAACCAGAAGAAAGCTTTGAGAAATTGGTATGACAAATTTAGGGACGCAGAGGTGGCGTTTAAACATGGGTGCTTTAGGGAAATCTCATTGTGTGTGGACTGCAAGGCTAAAAGAAAACTAATGCTCACCAGGTCCCGTCCAAAGGCTTGAGAGAGCACCATCTCCTGTTCCAATTTCTTCTTAATGTACTCAGCAGATAGCACCATTCCCTGGGAATAGACACCAAGATGGAGAAMAAATTGCGAACAGTTTCATGTCAGGCCCAACCTAGCACCATACCTGCACGCTGTGCAAGCTCTGGAGTGCCACACAGGACGTGCCAGAACTGCGCAAGGACGCCTGCCCCGTGCGGCACGTGGCTYGGCTCATCTCTGAGCAGAGCCAGGAACTACTCAGGAGTGACAAGAGTTGAAAGCTACGGCAATACTCAAAGGCCCTATACCTGGACTGACTGCATAGCCTGAAAAAAAAAATCACTTCTTAAACAAAAGATTGTGTATCTGACGGTTCAGTTCATGCGGGGAGCTGTAGTAGAGCAGGGAACTTGGATTTTTGGCAGCATCTCAGTCTTAACTACAAAGCTCTACACTCTGATTTAAATCTGTGAATGAAAACATGAACTAGCCTAACACATTTACAGAGAAACAACACAAACATTACTTGTGAAAACGCTACTTGGAAGAAGTGGCAGAACTACTTGAATAGGAAAGAGTCCCTGGTACCTGGAGCAGGCAGAAGAGTAAGTGCATTCAGCTGGCCATGGACCCTGTTGCAAATTACTGGAGGTATTTCTTTCAAAGAAACAAGAACTGATAAGAAACTAAGACCTGATGGGAAAGGAACTGAGAGCCTGTTTTTAAACACCTGTCACCTCTCTGGTGTTCGCTGCATTTGMAGAGTGTTTCCCACCCTAAGTACAGCAATTACTGATGCAGCTGATCTCTGTTATAGATAAGCGACTAGGATTTGGTCTGTGGCACAAATTCGTGGTTAAACCTTTGTCATAGTTTAATTCAGTGGTAGGAAAGCCCGAACTCCAAAGGATAAAGACAGGTAGTCAGAAATCAGCTAATGGCCATTTGCTCAATTGGGACTTCAAGTCATACACCCTGCCTGGGTTGGCCAAAGAACAGGGAGCTTCATCTGCTCTGCTCTTTTCCATTATACCTCTCCAGGAAAACAGTTTACATACTAAATGAACATTACTGAGCACTGCTGAATCTCTGGCATACATAAAAGGAATTCACGAGCCTCACGACAGGCCAAGAAATGGGTGACTTTCAAAGTTCTCAGTATCAAACGTAGCASCAACCCAGTGTGACGACTGAAGAAAAACAGCAGAACACGGCTGACTCTGCTGAGCCTGGAAATGGGACATTTGTAAYGCTAGCATTGCTATCAAAAAGCAGATGTCACAACATTTCACGTCTGAAATAGACCTTTCAGGAGTTAGTCAGCCTCAGCTTCATTTACAACAGGCTCCATTTCCAACTCTAATAAGAAATGAAAGGAAGACTTCTTACATACACTTCTAACATGGATTCAGCATTCTATTTTTGTAAAGCACGCCCTAAATCCACGGTGATGTTACTAGATCATGGTGATGATACCTTGATAATACATTATAATATAAACAGTGACTTTAAAATCATAGAGTTTCAGCACTGCAAATTTGCACTTCAGCTCTCCCTTCACGTGGATGCTGTTTTATAAGTTGCCAAAGGAAAAAAAAATCTGGGTGTAATTTTAAAACCTGAAATGTAAACGACCAGAGGAATTGGAGATCTATGGAAAGCAAGAAGGAAGTATTCTGTATTGTTTTGCAGTTAAAAGACACAGCACTTCTTTGCAATATTCAGAAACTAAAGCTACAGCCTTCTTTTTGTATAATATCACTTCAGTCTTTTCTTGCACAGAGGCGTGAATACCCACAGAGGGCTCTATTTGGAAGAGAGAACTAGAAAAAAATCCAAAGTTATTACGAGTTACTGCTATTACTAACTGTCATATCAGAAGGGTGAAAGCGGTGACCATGACGGGGCTTTAGGGCACCCTTTTATAGCAGTCACTTGCTGTCACCTTGGCTGGTTCCCTGCCACAAAATAAACCTCCATCACGTAATCATTTCAGTAGTTTAGTCCGGTACAAATTCAATAGAACTAAGCATGAGTTCGGGCCCTGGACTTACAATTACTTTCAAATTAACTCTGTTTAAAAGAAATTCATTGATTTTTCCAAACAGCGATGCTGAAGTTTGACCTCATAAATATTAACYGAGGCATTCACGTTAAACACTCCAACATTTCCCTCTGCAGTAGCAGCGGAGTGACACGTTGTCTCCTGTAATGGAAGCATCACCAGTTTTGTTTTAATTTGCAGACTGTCTGATCAACCCTGAAAGCAGCACAAGGCCAGGCTGGCCCCGCAGGTGGAGTGAACAGCTTTCAGCTTGCTGGGTAGGCAGGACATCTCATTTATTTTTGTATTAATAATGCATATCTTTAATGTCCATAAGCCAATAAAGACAGGCATTTTGGAATGCTGCTATCTCCATTAGTCTCCTTTGGGAATTAGAAGTACGTTATTTTCTAGTGATTAATATTCACAACACTTTAAAACAGGCTGTATTTGCATAGTGGTAACAACGGAAAAAACACATAATGAAATGAAAACTCAGTACAGAACAAAGGGGAACAATCTAATAATGCGCTTCAGACAAATTACTGGCATATGAATATTTCCATTTAAAAAGCAAATCTTCCATTCMAAAGAAAATGTTTAACTTCTACAAGTATCACTTACTAGCTTTTGTACACATYAAAAATACAATTGTCTCCTCTTACTTTCCTTTGGTTTGTCTTTACCTTTTTTAGTTCATACAAGCTGTTTATTGTAATGACTGTGCAAAGGCCTTTTGAATAAAAGTAAACAGTTCAAAATAAGTGACATTAGCTTTGACAGTTGAGAGTACTCCAAAAGTATTTAAAAGAAATAAAGGTTTACATATCTAAATATAAATTCTGTGATAAAAAATCTGCTCCATTTATCTCTGTTTCCTTACTATGTCCTATTTAACTGCTACACYGATTCATTCAGGAGGAGATATAAAAGAGATGCTAATCGTCCCAACAGAAGGAACTCAACGTGATTTTAAAGAAGGGCCYGCTCTGGAAGACTGTCTGAGAGCAAAGCTCTTCAAGACACAACCAACAATAACRGATAGTCTCCGTGGTCAGGGTTGTTTGTCCTCAAAAGTAACCACTTCTTTATGAAGCCCCCCACAGCATGTGGTCATCCATCAGCTGCTAATGCAGCCCAGAGGCTGCAGGCAGCATCTGGAGGAACATCACGAATGAAGCAGGAGCTCCCAGCTCGTGGTTCCCGCTGCATTACGAGCTCCAAGCCTTGCCCTGGAGGCTCCTTGGCCAGATGATCTGCAGCATCTTGTCTGCAGCATTGCCCAGCTGGTGCTAAGCACTTCCTGACATACGGAAGCTCCAGTTGCCATTTTCCTTTCCCAACAGGACACAGCAGCTTTGAGACGCCATCAAACTCCTGGTAAACTTAAAACTCAGCACGTGTGCTTGAGCAGGAGGATTGGACTAGATCATCTCCAGAGGTCCCTTCCAACCTCAACCATTCTGTGATGCTGTGTTATCACTTTGCTGCGCTGGGACAAAGATGACTTTGCTGGCCTGGGGCAAAAGCGAGGGAGTGGGGAGAATGGGGCCGGCCTCTTTTCCGTGGTGGCCATAGATAGAACTAGAGGAAATGGTCACAAACGGAAGCATCAAAAGTTCTGCAGCAACTTAAGGAAAAATTTCTTAACAGTGAGGGCAACAGAGCCCTGGAACAGGCTGTCAAGCGAGGCTGTGGAGTCTCCTTCTCTGGGGATCTGTTGCCTTTTAAGAGGTTCAATGACCATCCCATTGCAACAGATTTTTCTTAAACATATTGTCAGCATATTATTGCAAATTCTGAAAAGGTTGTCAGAAGAAAAAGTAATTTCACAGTGAGTTTGTTCTAGGACTCTAGAAATTCCTTTTGCAGTTCTTTTTTTCACTCGTTTCTTTACTCTTTTTGTGTGTTTGCTCTACTTAAGGGTGTAATGGTTTTAACTGTTTCAATTTAAGGATTTTTCAAAGAACATTATAGCCATTTCACTGCAATCATGTAACATCCTTCACAAGAGCACCTCAAGCAATTAAGACTGTCTTTTCTCTTCTTTTGGTTGTTTGGTCTATGTCTAAGAAGTCAAGACATAAGAAGTGGTTTCTACTTACTTTGTGTCCCAGCCATGTTCCATGGTGACCCTCAACTGGAAGCCGTTCTGCATCCCCAGTTAGGTCAGTCAAGGCATCCTGGGAAAAAGAATTTACCACATTTTGGACAACCAGCCAAAGACCAGGAGCAAATCAGGAAGGTCTCAGATTATTCCCAAAGGTTGCTAAGGGCCCAGGGTAATTTGAGGCCACTGTGCAGTGCACCTACTTTTGGAGACAGAGTTCCTCGGATACTGATGACCACCTTCTTCTTATCGTGGTCCACAGCAACGTAGAAAGGAGTTTCATAAACCTGGAAAAGATCAACTGTTGCAACATGCTGATGAGGCCTTCCAGCTGAGTTCTTCTCCTACCCAGGGAGGATGCAGGCAGGGCAGCGTGACAAGCTATGCCTTAATACAGAAGAATAAAGAAGTTTCTGTCCAAACGACAGAATTTCTTGGCAGAAAGACTGGAAATTTGGCTCTAGGGTCAGGAAAAGACTTAGGTTTCCTTATGGGTACCACTGCATCTGAGAGCAGAGAGATCAAAAAGGAGAGGCCAGAGAAGACCCCATATGAAGGGGCTTGCAGATCTCCTCACCGCATCGTGACAAGAAGTGTAAACAATGTCCACCGAGGTCATATTCTCATCCAAGAAGTGCCGCCGGATGGCGATGGCATTGCAGCCACAGCAGTTGTCCTCCTCAATGGTGACACCGGGTGCATAGCGGGGACGGGAAGGACACAGACAGCAACACCTGCAAAAGGGAASGAGAAAGAAAAAAAGGAAAAAGGGTTTTGTGGAAAAGAGAGGAATGTAGAAGAAGCTACAGCTTTATAGAGGAAATGTCCAGAAAGAGGAAGGGGAAAAGAAGAGACCCTGCATGCCACATACAGGCTTTATTTTGACATCAGTGATTTGCCCTACTTGTAGGTGTTCTCATCAAAAAAATAGAACATACACACAAAAATAAAAATAAAAATAAAAATAAAAATAAAAATAAAAAATAAAATAAAATAAAAATAAAAAATAAAATAAAATAAAATAAAATAAAATAAAATAAAATAAAATAAAATAAAATAAAATAAAATAAAATAAAATAAAATAAAATAAAATAAAGCTGTAGTTTTCCTTCTGAGCACCAGAGAGAGCTACAGTGCAACAAGTCTCAGGGAATCGCTGCATGATGGGGTTGGGATCCCTCCTCATGGGATGCTATGCTTAGTAGCACAGTCCTGAATAGCTTCAGCACATAAAGCAGCTAACATTTATTGAGCTCTACATCTATCTTTTTAACATGTTACAACGAARCAGTTCCAGAATCATCCCAGGAACAAAAAGGAACCTTAGATTTTCTTTTCTATTTCCTTCATGAGACATTTCCTCCATAAAAGCATCTCAAAAGGTAGCACACTCCTCCTAAAATACGAGCAACTTCTCTGCTGAATCCGGTTGTAAAAAAATCAGTCCCAAACAGGCTCTGGTGGCAGAATYATCACAGCTGCAGGCAAACATTTGAAATGACAGTGCAATCCTGAAAGGAATTACAGTATTGCTACCATAAGGTAAGCAATATATAGCACGGCAGAGAGGACACGGCACAAAATGCAGCCAAGTCTTGCTGACACTCTAATAAAGACCCAAATGTCAACTCCCTGCACATCTGGGCTTGCTGATAAATCTGATTACTGAGCACCAAGCAGCTCCGTTGACTCACTGTGAATATAGTCTTATGCTAGATGAGTTTTTCCTCTGCTGGCTGTTCAAATCGTATGGGACTGGCATGATCTTTAGTGCACCAGAGAGGACAGAGCATAAAATGGCTTGGTTTACTTAACAGGGTAAGCAGGTAAGCAACCGTGAGAAAGAAGGACTGGGGAAAAAGACAGGGGAGGAGGAAAGGCTTGGAAAGTGACTGAGCGAGACAGAGGGAAAGAAGGAGAAAGGAAAAAGAGAAAGAGGGGGGAAAAAAGAGAGGAAAGGAAGAAAAAGTGGGATTAAAAGAGAGTAAACTGATGGAAGATAATTCTAAAGCAGGGGAAAACAGAAGGGAAAAGGGACAAAGTAAGAGCAGGCCGAGCAAACAGACAGGACAGCCACTCACGAGCAGGATCTGGCCAGGCGACAGAGTCCACATGTGGGCTTCCTCATCAGGTACATGGGCCAGCCATAGGCAGCCAGGGCAAACAGCATGTAGTAACACACCTCTTTATAGCGCTGCATCTCTTGCTGAAAGAAACAGGAGACTCGCTAAAGGCCTGGTACGCTTTGAAATGGCGATTTTTTTCCTACTGTTTCCCTTTTCCCATCACAGTTAGAGAAGTGCACGCTCCTTTTAGCTGGAAGTCATCCTTCTCTCTCACCACCATGAGGACAGCAAGCACTGACTGCATTTCCAGGCGACTACTGGAGAGCAAGCTGCTTAATTCGAGCTAAATCCTCCCTCTCCTAAGAAGAGCTATGCCAAATTCCGTGGGGGGAAGATAAAGAGACATTCTCTGCTTCACATCAAACAACACTGTGTAAGGGAAGGCCATGCTCTCAGGGATTGTTTTACCCTACCCTACTTGAGGAGAGGAGAACTAGTTTAAGCCTGGAGGAGCTCTCCAAAATAAACTGCTTCCACAGCGTTGCAGGCCATAAGATGTCCAGGGAGAGGCCGCTGGGACCATCCAGGGCCATAAGCCTCAGCACTGACTCCTAAGAGCCAGGTTGACATCTCAGTCCCACACACCTACTCAGCATGACAGACTATCTGAACAGAAGCAGCACGTTAGCATCAAACACAGCACAGGAGGGCACAGCCACGAGAAGGTGAATTTGGAAGTCACCTCAGATCAGAGATGCTGGGACTTGGTCAGCCTCGCTCTCGCAACCGTTAATGTCTAATCAAGGGAAATGGGAAGAAGTTTGCCCATGAAGGGCTGCRATGGCAACACGGAGCCAGGAGAAAATCCATGTTTAATCTGCAGCGAACGAGACAGACTGCAGCCACTGTCATCTTCAGAACTGCTGACAGAAGCAGCACYACAGAGGAAGGCCCCATCACACTCCAGGCAGCTCCCTGCTCTAACCAAGAGGGCACCCAGGATGTCCGGCTTCATGGGCCCTGCTGGTGGCAGCTCCATATGACGTTCCTAGCTGCAGCACTAAACTCGTATCTCCAGCTCTGGAGAACCATCCCTTTCTGAGAAGAAATACTACTACCTTCCTCAGAGTGGAGGACAGGGACAAAAATGCTGTAGAAGTGCTCTCAAGTCCAAAAAAACCCCACGCTCTCCCGGAGAACTAGCATTCAGTCCATTCAGAACAGTTATCAGAATCTGTTGTTCCAGTCACTGAATGGTTAAGGTTGGAAGGGACCTCTAGGGATCATCTAGTTCAACCCCTGCTCCARCAGGGACACCCAGAGCACGGGGCACAGGGTGACATCCAGGTGGGTTTTGGAGACCTCCAAAGAAGGAGCCTCCCTGGGCAGCGTGTGCCAGGGCTCTGTCACCCTCACAGTAAAGAAGTTCCTCCTCACATGGAGATGGAGCTGCCTGCGTTGCAACTTGTCCCCATTGCCCCTTGTCCTGTCACTGGCCACCACTGAGAAGAGCTTGGTCCACTCCTCCCTACATCCTCCCCTCAGGTACTCATACATATTGATCAAACTCCTCTCAATCTTCTCTAGGCTAAACAGGCCCAGCTCACTTTGTCTTTCCTCGTAAGGCAGATGTTCTTTCACTGCTTTAACTACAGAAAGAGGCAGGGGCAGAGAGGAGAAAAAGAGAAAACACTGAGGAAGAAGATGACAGGCCACGTGCGGAAGCATGGGGAGCTTGCAGCATCCCAGGCCAGTGACTTACCGCATTTTTCAGGTCCAGATACTTAGTGTTCCTGGTCACCGGCATCCCAGACAGAAAAGCTAAAATGTCATTGTTTGCCTGCAAGTCACAAACACACATCAAAATTCTCCTCCAYGCCATCAAGACACAAAACCTATGCCTGAAAACCAGAAAGCACTATGCAGCCTGGCACAATACAGCTTGCAAGTATCTTGACTTGGTTACTGATCTAGTCCTGATTTCCACAGCATCTGATCACTGGTGTCTAAACCCCACTTCTGAATAGAACCTTTTCTACTGGGTTGGTAATTTGCAATCTCAGTGCCAGTAATTGCTTGGAGAATTATGTTTTTTTCCCTAAAGCTCCTCCAGTAGCTTCATCCCGATGATGGAGCCGTCTCTACATAAGYACATGGGGGAGGCACAATCGTTCACTTTCAAGCAACTGCCCTCCTCCTGAAGGGTGTTGCCCAGTTGGGGTCAAGAACACCATTGATATGCACAGCCCATCGAGGAAAAAGGACAGGTTCCTTTGCAAGTCTCAGAAAAGCTTCTTAAAAATAAAACAAGCAGTATTTTTCCTCCACAGCTTTGTGAGTGGCAAGAGCCCATCGCACAACAGAAACAAGGTGGGCAGAGACATGCAGTTCTCACCCGGTGAGTCACGCAAGAGGAGCAGGTAAGCGAGCGGGCAAAGGAGAGCCCCGGTGCCTCGGGCCGAGCCCCGCCACCCACCTCATCCAGCACGGCGTTGCGTTTCGCCCTTTGCCGCTGGCGCAGGAGAACCAGGCCCGCAATGATGTCGGACGGGACGATGTCCAGGTCTCGGAAGAACTCCGCGAAAAGGTAGGCGATCTCAGAGTAGGCATCCTGCAAAATCCGGRTAGATCGGGGCTTAGGAGGAGGAGGTTGGTTGTGGGCAGCCTCCAGACAGGACACGGAACGAGAATCGATGGCCTCATCTCTGTAGCTCGGTCTCCAAAACATCCAAGAGATTCCTTCAGGGAACACCTTTTCTGGTCTAATCGTATTAATGTATCTTATTTTATATAGTCACGCTCAGAGGCCTGAGACTCAGCTTAAACCATACTGGGTGCTTCTGCGTGTATAAGCAGACAAACACTACATCAAAACAGAAAGGACAGACAAAAAGGGAGAGAAAGGAGCTATTTTCACCTCCACACTGCAAATAAGACAGAGGGAGAAAGCAGAGAACTCAACACAAATCCCAGTCATCTTTAATTGTCCTCTTAGAGTCCTTCCTCCTCAAAAGCAATTTCATTGGAACAACAGCTATTTAGAAGGGAAAAAAGAGACAGAAACATTAAATAGCACACAGTCTGTCCTATTTAATAATCTCTTTAGTTCTGTAACTCAGTCCTGACATCATCTTTCCCATACTTAAGCCAGCTCCACTGTCCCAGGCACATGACTGAGAAAGTGGGGGCTGTTTGAAGCCTGTCACCGGATAGTCACTGTAGCTGTTGATTTTTCACCATCACCACACACCGGTATTACAAGTGGCAGAGAACTCGACAGAGTGAGCAGGCTTTGACAAGCTGGTCCTCATCTATGCCCAGCTTCGTCCAGACTCCAGCAAAATTACCCGAAGAGAACGGCTTGGAAGGATGGAGACTGAACAGACTGTAGACAAAGCCTGTGGTCACCGCTTGGACCAGCGCGTTTTAAGGACAAAGGTGACCCAGAGGTTGGATCCCCCAAAAGTGGGACTGAGCAAGTGCAATAGCACAGACCTGCTCACTAGTTTGACTGCTACCACCAGCCACCTCTGAGCATCCTTCACTCAGCACCTTAAGTCACAAACAGGTCTGTACAGGTGACTGGAGTCCGGGCTGTGCAGCAGAAGACAGGTCTTCAGGGCAGGTTACCTCTATCTCTCCCTTTGACAAGCTTTGAAGAAAGTAAATTTGTTCTTTTCCTAGATGAGCCTTGGATGAAATGAGCTGCATTCTTCTATCTGACAAAATCCTGGARTGCAAGAATATTTCCTGCCATTTTTTTCGCTTGTTTACACTGGCAAGCAGAATCCTCATTAAGAATGGGGCTTCAGATGTCCATACTGTGGGTTGCCATCCCAGCTACAGCTTTGAAGAGCAAGCTGACTGACATTAGCCTCTTATATAATATTGCAGCTGCACTACCCTCAAAGTACCGACCCCTGTAAATGACACCACTTAATAATCTGTTCAAAGTGAAGGCCAGAAAACTCAAATCACAGAAAGAATGTGCATTTCCTCCTTGGAAGGAAGAATCCCTGCTCAAGCTCCTGATATTTAGATAGTGATAGATTGACTGTGATATTCTGGTGCTGACCCTGGAGACTCTGGGGCCTGGCAGAACCTATGGGGACAGAGCACTGCTGGTCACTCCAAACACGTAACAAGAGATTCCTGCCCTGCTGTCACGTCTGCTCTGCAGAATTCTCTTTGATGACCACAGGAATGATCATCCTCTGCTAGAACATGCTTTTTTTCCCCAGGAATCCTGGGAGAAGCAGCACTGGATTCATTTCTGATCCATTACACACGCATTCACTGCACATACTGCCATGTCAGGACACACCGAGTTCAGACTCCCGTTTTCTCACAGAAAAGAGCCTGGAAATTGCTTGAGCTGAATTTAAAGTGCAAATTCAGTGGCAAACAGAAGTTGGAGATTCTGGGATCTGCTTTAATCCTGAACCATTAAAAAATGAGAGAGGGAAACACACTCACTGCAGAATGCAAAATTTGTTTTAAATTAAAAAAAAAAGTTCAATACAAAGTGAAATATTTTTGCCTTCATGGATGAAATAGTTTGAAGGTGGTTCAGAATCTGGGCAACACTGGTGCCTCTCAGGACTTACTTTTGGGGTGCCCATATTCTCCTTRCGAGGCTCCTGAGCCAGGCTACAATTGCCCATGGTGCACTTAGAGGAAACATCTCTGGAGATGTGGACAAGGCACCTGGAAGGCACCTCTCTGGTGAGGCAGCACAGGGACACAGGAAGTAACCACCAAGGGAATATTGCTGCTTCAGCTGCACAAAATGGTCTTTTTGCTTCAGTTTTCCAGGTGGATTTTCCCAACCAGCTCTAGTAGACGATTTGGCGAAGCCATGCAAACTACTCCTGGACTATTACCTCTCAGCAGGATGACAGGTTGGCACTAGGAAATTCCCTGGAAAAGTGGGAAAGTTTCATCCAGTTCTCCGGGGCAAGCAATCCAGAAGATGAGCATGCCACCACTTGTAGCTACATTTCCACCAAAGGGCTATCATGACTCCTGCASCTATTCACTCTTTGGAAACTGCAGCCCATGCACCGCTGCCCAAGAGCCACTTTGCAACTCGCCTTCCACGATAAACACAAACGTGCAGGTAGGCTTCACSTGAATCTCCATCATTTTACACAGATCTTCATTTTATTGCACTTCTCACTGCTGAGACTCCAACCCAAGCTCATTTCTCTTCCTACACAGCTYCACATCCCTTCTGTCTGCTCCTTCTTCTGCTGCATCTTTAAGGAAACCAAACCTCATACTGCATTTAGTGAGCATGTATCACCTACGTGGTCAGCCCCTTAACATTTTCTGTAGCATTTTCTGTGCCCTTCTACTGAAGCCTTTCAGGCTCAGTAGAAGAGATGTCTTTTTTGAGGTGTCCTTGATAACTCCTAGCTCTTTTCCTGAGAGGCTGTAACTAATTCAGAAGCAATGAGTGGACATAAGTAATTTAAACTGTGCTTCAGATGTGCCTYATCTCACCCTCCTGTATCACGACTTTCCTCTAGAATTGGTTACATTTCCCTGCTTCTGCCTGGTCCTTCAGAAGGAGTTCTCAGAATTAGCAGCATTTGACCAATCTAAATATTACTAAGTCATCATCCGAACTTGACACCTCCTATGTACTTCTCCAGCAGGTTATCAGGAGTCCTGTTGAACACCATCCTAGGACACAATCCTGCTCCTAGTGCCTTCATACAAAGGCACTGCTAACTTTTGTGGAAGCAAATCAAGCCCTTGAGCCTGCTCTGTTGCATAGATACCTGCATGGGAAATCCTGACCGTAGCACATGAAAATTTCAGAGCAACAACCTGCATTTCGATCCATGGATTAAGCAGCAGCCTTTGCTGGCTGGCAGCCTAGGAGGAGTCTTGCCTATTCCGACAGGTTTATGTTTTCCTCCTTTCCCTCTGAGACTGGCAAAGAAAGAGCTACTTAAGCTGACTATCTGCTAAGAGAGAAACGTGGTGAAGCTGCCCACAAAAAGGGCTGTCAGAAGCTGAGTATAAACATGCTTTAACCAAAACAAACTTAAAAATTCACTGTGGCAGCAAGGTAAAAAGGAACTTTGGGGGAAGCGAGAGCTTAAACCCCAAAGCGCTGCTTTTCAGGGCTACTAATGTTCCCTCCAGAGAGAGTCCTGTAGCATTAGCTGCTCTGCCGTGTTCCAGGTATCGCCTGCCATGCAYGGAGCTGGCTCTCCACGAGGAAACACGCTCGGGACCTACCGACTGGGAGTCCTTGGTGCGCGTGCAGCAAAGGAAAACCTTGAGCCGCCGTGTCCAGCTGCTGGCTTGCCCTTCCTCCAGGCGGTGCCTGCAAGAAAGACAGAGAGGAACCCCTTGCAGCCTCTTCTCCTGCACCAGGAGCGCGCGTGAGAACCCGTGCTCTCATTTAGGCCGCCCTGGCAGAGCCAAGGCGACAGCCCATAGGCCAGAACGTGGTTCACAGCACAGGGAAATAAGGTCATTTCACCTTATTTCACCCACCCCTCCAGATGGAAGGAGGAGAAACAAGCAAAAGTTTCACTTTTTTTTTTTTTTTAAAGGTGAAAGAACTCTGAGCACAACAGGTTCAACCCATTTCAATTTCAGCTGCAGAATTAGCTGATGGAACAATGTTATTAATAGGGCCTGCAGGTGAGTTCACTCCACTGTGTGAGCTTATCCTTGTTACTACATTGGCAGGGTAATATTACCTTATTTTTGACTGCTCTACCTGCAGCCCACAGCTCCCCTAATGCAGGGTCTTTTTTTTTTTTTAACAGCCACACAGACCAATTTAACATGGGACAGACCATTTAAAACAACCAACAAACAAAAACCCTTCCATTTTAGGTCATCTGATCACATAAGGAAAAGACCAAGAACAGAGAGTGAGAAGAAAACCTGCTATGAAATGAGTATCCACCTGCAATTTAAGGTCAAGCTTCTGCTGTGCACTCCATCTGCTCACATCTGAACAAGAGATGTGGTTTAAAACCACAGCGATGCAAGTGAGATTCAAAGATTGGAAGAGGAATGTCCCTGTCCTAAGACAAAACTGTCAGTGATCAGTTTGCCCTGCAAGTGCCAAAGCACTCGGGCAGCAGTGCCAAAAACTTCACACAGAGGTTGAGAAAGCAAGTGTGCTTTGAGCCATCCTCACTCCGAGTTTTCCTTCTTCTTTTTTTTTCCAGTCCTGAACTTCCACATTTAGTTTGGGCCTTAAAGCAACTCTCTTAGAAAAGCATCAGCAGAATAAGCTGAACCTTTCTTTGTCTGGATTTTGGGTTTCGTCCCGCAAGAGCATAAAAAGCCCACACATATCAAGGCACCACTAGAAAAGGAAAACAACTGCCCGAGGAGCTACAATGGTACCACGAAAAGGAAGCCACCAAAATGCCATGTCTTCCTAATGAGACAAACAAGTCAGGTTCTTTCACGAGTTAAGACAGAGGAAACATAGCTCCAATTTTAAGTGCAACACAAAGTCAGGTTATTGCCATACATCAAAAGGGGGACATCGCTGCAAACCAAGGGACCTCAACAGCAATGGGCGGCCTTCAGCATCGTTCTCCAGAGATAGGCGGAGAATTACGAACTATTCCCTTTGGAAATGATTGCACTGAATGCAAAGTACCAGCTTATGTTTCCATCTCACATCATACCCCACAGTGTGTTGGTTATTAACAGCTGTGAGCACTACATTTCTGGGGTGGAAGTCCACAAACAGCAGGCACAAGCTCATTGAGATGCTCCAGGCCTGGAGGAGAAAATCTGGGCAGGGCCAAAGGGACAAACACCTCAAGTAACTTTTCTGGGGTCTCAAAAATCTGCACAGAGAAGGTGACTTGGTTTTGGTTTGTGTTTTAGCTCCTCAGGCAGAAAGAACTTTGCAACCTGCAATGCTCAGTTTCCTCCATGGAYTGAGTCAAAGGGCTCTGTTTAACAGGGGGTCCTGGTTGCACAGTATTTTAGCACAGAATTCCCTGGGAATGTCCCAATTACAACACAACAACTGCACGCATTAGGTTAATGGGGTGCTAATCCCAAGCATTCGAGACTAGCGACTAGCATTGGTGCTATATTCAGGTCATCCCACTGCAAGAAGAAACAGGTTCCTTCAAACATAGCAGCAACACTTGCTGTGTTGTCTCCAGAAGAGCCTGAAGATTTTTCCTCTCRCAAAGGCAATGTGAGGAACCTCCTTTCGGAACACTGGAGGACTGGAGGATTGAATATCGGTTCCTAAAGAAAAATGCATGACTTCCAGAATATCTTTGAAGAGCCTCATTTCTTCATTCAAAATGCTCTCAGCCCTACAAGGCCACATTCTTTGCTGACAGCTACACATGCCAGGCCTGCGTAAGGAAACAAAGCCTGTTTGTGCTGCCCCAGAGCTTGGCGGGAGGGAGAAACCCAAAACAACCCCCCAACCCCAACAACAGTTAAAAAGCAACAAACTTCTGAAAAATGCCTTGCTCGGTGAAAAAAACCTTTCATATGCCCATCTGGGGAGCGCACAAAGATGCTATTAATTCTTGATTGAAATATCTAACTGCCAACACAAAAGAAACTGCTTCCTAGCTAACATCATGCATGAGACATTTCAGGCCAGAAGGCTGTATTTTGAAGAAGATGTTCTGAAGAAATAGAAGAAGAAAGAGGCTTTGGAAGAAGATCCTATCTTGACCTGAGTGAAGTCTAAGTACTACCTCRCTGTTACTCTGCAAAACACAATGGCACAGGGTGGACAAACAAGCTGCTGTGACCAGGAACTGTGGCACAAAGGACTTAAAAAGATTTATAAATCCACTAACTAACTAAYGTTAGTGAGTATTTGTTAGACTAATGTCTGATCCCAGCAGATCTCATGTTGCTTTGCCTCCTTGGGGTACAGATGCCCACAGAGAGCACCCRGCACCTGGACTGCATTCTTCCAAAAGGCCCCAAAATGCAAAGAGGGAAGCAGCTCTTGAAGCCGAACGTTCCCTGGGTTAGGCCAGGAAGATTGCAGAGGAAGAAGCAGGCAGGGGCCCCGGCAGAAAGGCCGTGTTACCGCAGGTTGTAGGTCCTCAGGTTGCGCTGCCGGCGCTTCGTGGCACGCAGCTTGACAAAGGTCCTCCCCGTGGGGTCGAAGACGCACAGGACAGTGATGCAGACGCTCAGGATGACGACCCAGTTGCACACCACCATCCCTGCAAAGGAAGAGGAGTCAGGGGCCCTGCTCCGGGCGAGCTGGCAGTGCCCTCYGCAAAAGAAAAGTCTCTGAGAAGGCTTCTGAGCACAGCTGAGTTCTCCAGCTCTTTTAGGACAGCACCCATGTCCTAAATTATTACCCATTACTGAAGAATCTAACGGTGCTGTTGAGTACCTAAGGGGACTACGGGAGGATCATTGGGTGCCCCCAGGAGACTGACTGAGATTCAAAAGCAATTCTAGGAAAGCAGTAAAAGTCATTGGGAACCAAAGGGCAACCAGGGCTTTCACATTCACCAGGCAGATCCCTCCACAGAAACACGGACTCAACAAAACTGCACTCAGTAAATAAATACATCAACAAACAACCGTTCTGAATTGCATCATCTCAAGGTAACAAACAGCCCATCTACCGCTACAGACAACTCCCAAATTCCCATATGCTGGAATGGACTTGCTCTCCGAGACAAGGGGATATCTGGAATACACAGGGAAGGCGTATGCCAACACACCCCACATTCCAAATACTTACCCAAAGTGACGCTCTTGGCAGTGACATCGTTGCACGACGCGTAGTACTGCGTTAGCCAAATGATGCCCACGATGGCGTACACAAATTCGATCACCAAGATAGCTGAAACAAAAGGAACACAATGGAGAGTAGCAGCCTCATACTGTCCATCCTCATCTTCTGTGGAGGATGCATGAGAACACTGTGTAGAGCACCAACTGTTGGCAGCCAAATATTCCCTGAGACAGGTTCTTTATCCTAGCAGGACAGTGGCACAGAATTAACTACTGAGGAACTGGACGTTGGTGCTTTGGAGGGCAATCTTCAAGAAAATCAGCCAGATAAATGTAATTTCTCCCTCACATTCACTGGGGTGATGCAAGGACCATGTACCCACAGAGCTGCAAGCGCCCTAGGCTGCATCACAGGCTCGAATCCAACAGGCATTTCTTCCACTCACTAGAGTAGAAATATTTCCCCCTGTTGCAAGCAGCAACATGCAACCACATCTAGGTCTTGACTACCTCAAACAGCTGGCTGGATTCCAAACAAGGTTAAATGATAGGAAAGAGCCTATATTCCGGATTACTTCTGCTTACTACACTTTGCAACTTCTCACAGAACCTCCACCCTTCGCAGTCCCTGCAGCAACAGCTCCCCTCAAGGGGCACAGGCCCTTTATTCACCTTCAGTTCTCCAAGTTAGGCTCCTAAAAAAGAATTTGAGGGTTGACAGTGTCAACGGACACTGACAGACACATAAAAAAAAACAGAAAATGTTTGGAAATACTACTTCAAGGTGCTCATCATTCCACCTTCCCAGCGCATCACAAGCCCCAAGTTTATAGGGTGCATAATAATAAGGTCCAGGGAAGGTAATTAGCTCACTTAGTAATGTATTTGAGATGTATTTGTAACTACTTAAAATGGAACTTAAACTGGAACGGTCGTATGGACCTTGTCTACTATAGGGTCACACTCCTGTGTCCAGTCTAAAAGGAGCAATCAAAACTCTGCAGCTCAAAACAAAACTAACACAAAAATACACAGAATATAAATCTATGTAAGACCCAAGTGTAAATAAAGACCCTGAAGCCAGGTATAGTTTAAGGCAGAAAAGGATGTTATTTGGGTAGGAAAATGGCTCTCCTTCCCTTGCCTCATTTGGTCTGGTTTTGCCACACCGCTACTCAAACCACCAGGCTCTCCAGGCTTCCYGAGGGAGACTCCAGCATGAGCAAGAGAAAGCGATAGAGATTCGTTTGCTTCTCATGTTAATGCATCTACTTAACACTCAAAGACCAAAATGTCTCTCAGGCAGAGCTCTCAAGCAAGGGTAGGCAGATTTTAATAAATTCTGCCTGAAAACATAATAGCAAAAACAGAACAGGCCCTGAGATGCTTCGTTTGGAACGGGTTTGACCATCTCTGTATAAGATTTATCTTCAGAGTCTCCCAAGTTCCCTCTCCTCAGCTCCAGAAAAAAATCCATCAGTCAATAAAGCAAAAACAAAAAGAACACAAGCCTCCCATTCAGGAGAGAAAAGTCTGATCACATTTCCATACCTGGAAGAAAGGAAAGAGAGGAGGAGGGAAAAGCCAAAAGGGAAACCATATACGAGAAATAAAGGAAAAATCTTTTCTGATTCTGATCTTGAAAGTTCAAGCTGGCTGGATAAGACAGGACCTGTTTTTAGGAAGACGAAACAAACAGCTAGGAGGGAAAATGCAGCGAGTGAGCAGGYGGTACCTATTTAACTCACAGTACCCAAAGGTAAAGTATCAAAGTGCACGTTGTGGATGGAGAGACGCCTCACACATGTCAGTCAAGAGGTCAAGGACATATCTCAAGGTAGACATGTGCAGTCTTAAGTGTTCATGTGGCATGTGATGACATGCACATGCCACAGAGTAGGAACTACCGCCATAATATGCACAGCATATCCTGCATTAGAGAGATCTTGTGTTCTCCTAGGTGGGAGAAGATGTCTGTTGCAAAGGCAGAAGGGGAGCGTGTGTTGTCAGGGGAAAGTGATGTGCCTGCATCACAACGAGGGTGACAAGTTAAAGGTTTAGTCGGAAGATATTTGGGACATTGCATGAGAGCCTTACAGCACTGACAGGGTGCGGTATACGTGACGTATTCAGATGCATATCACATACAAGTGGCCATCTGGATGTCTTGCGGGAGCTGCGTGCTTGTCAGGGTGTAGGGAGACAAGTTCTTTCGCGAKAGCAGATGGCAGCGTGGAGGCTGAGTCACTGGAAGGCCTCAGGCCGCTGCCTCTTACCTAGTCTGACATAGAGCACATACTGCATCGAGTCGCGGGGCTCCGTGTACAGGATGCTGCCTCGCATGCTGAGCCAGATGATTGCCACCTCTGCGATCATACAGCTGAGCAGGATGCCCAGGTAGCCTCTGCCGTGGTCCACCAGGTTAAGAGAGCACGTCTCGTTGGGGTTGTACACCAGCCCGAAGAGCACCACGGAGAGGATCACAAACCTGCCCATCACAAACCAGCTAGTTACMAACAGCAAGCTAGGCAAAGCCGCAGGTAACATCCCCTGCCCATTCCCACAGCGTTCCTGAAGACCCCTGCACATTCCCTGATAACTCAGCTGCTTACAGCCTATATTAATTTSTTCTGGAGCTCTCCTCCCCACAAGCCATGCCAAAGCCTTGCTGCCCTAGTCGGAAGAACTTGTTGACCTTCGTTGAGCCACGTTATTCAATGGGATCTAGCGCTCCGATGGTTTTCCCTGACCCCTTGTACAGAAACAAGGCCCCAAATTACAGTGGACAACTCTGGATAGCACAGGAGGATTCCAGGTACCCTAGTGAGACTTCCTCCCTGACCCTGTAACCGGTACTTAAATAGCACAGACCCAAAGAGCCATACACTGGTATTTGTCAGAAGCGTCCCGTGCAAGCACTCCAGCCGCAAGCACAAGCACAGGAAGCATCCCAGCTGCAGCAAACAGCAGTTGGAAGCAGACAGAATTCCGGAGACCATTCCAAGTGCCCTTCGCACCCGCTCTCCTCGCTTACCAGGTGGTATGAAGGAGGAAAAGAAAGACAGCCGGCAAAACGAGGTCATCGCTGCCCACAGACCAGCGCCGGCGGAACACGACAATTCCTGGCATGGCTAGCGGGTCCGGGGAGGTTCAGCAGGCACGACACTCACCTCCTGCAAAAGAAAGATGATTTTAAAGTCAAAGACGGTGCTGAGCTCTCCCGGGCACAGGGAGGGAGCTGCAAGCAGGCGCCGGCAGCAGGACCTCGCCTGYGGGCTGTGGGGTTTTGTGCCGCGGGGAGCAGAGCTCTTGGCTAGCACCAGGGGCACTGGATGCTCGAGCGGAGAGCAAAGGGAGACGCTGCCAAAAGAGCTCACCCATCCTTGGTGTTCACGCTGCCGACCTGCACAACCTCCCGTGTTACTTCTCGGAAGGAGGAACTGCTCCGCATGCTGAGCTGGGAATTTGCCATTGAGTTCACAGAGGCAAAACTGAATATCTTTGTTGCTGGGACATAATCCGGGTTTCCATCAGCATTTCAGAGGGGGAGTCACCTGCTGTACCTCACGCCCCATATAYTAACAACTGCAACTTAAATTACGTATGCAACTCCAGTGCTCTGGGTAACAAAGTGTAAAGAGCACACACGCTTAAACTAATATGTACCTTCAAACCCAAATAAATGTTGGTTTTATGACAGACACAAACTGCATCCCAGCACAGTTAATACCCCGAGACACTTCCAGTCTGTTACTCACTTCTGTGAGTAACTCGCTTCTATCTTCCACCAGCAAGGCAAAACATGACACCGCAGCAGCATTGGGATTCACCTCTCCTCAGCACATAATAACCAGAGCACTCAGCACCTTGCAGCTTTGCCTTCAAACTGGCCTCTCCTGGGGCCATAGGGCAATTAGTGTTTGCCTTGCCACGGATAACCTGACTGTCTGTGATGCAGCACCTTGCATGCTGAATACAGGTATCTTGCATCTCACAAGCACCTCCCCTGCACGGCAGAACTTGCATCTCATATGTCGAACCCTCGGCGCAGGTGGACCTGCTTTTCAGCACATTCATTACTCTGCTGCTGCCCACAGCGGCGCCCCTCACTCTGCCCTGGCTTTCAGCGCACAATTCCCACCAGCCCTTGGCTCATGGCTGAATCCCACGGGTGCACTTTCCACAACTCCTAGGCCTGTAGAAATGCCAGTGATGTGCTCTGCTTTTACTACCTTCTAGCAGCTCAAGCAGCAGCGTATCTACAAGAGCAAACTAAAGTAAACGCCTCGGCCAGAGCTACAAATGGGGCCAGAGGAGAAGAGCCTGTCGCTCCCCATCTGACATGAGAAGGATGGTGGGACTGTCACGCCGAGCAGTTCTTTCCAGGCTCTGGGTCCACCACCACCACTTCTAACTGGTTTCATCACTTCAGAACGTGAGCCAGGACGTCTGACGCCCTGCCCACTGCTTGGGAGCAAGAGAGATGATAGGAGGCCTGTGACTATAAGCCATCCTCGCTCACTCCAAAAAAAGTTAATCCTCTTAACGTGAGGACTCCTCAGCTTCACCCCAGGGTACAAGATCTTCACAGTTATGCTTTAAGAAACATGAAGAGAGGATCTAAGAGAGGAACAGGGAGGAAGAAGTGCAAGGTGAGAGTGCAAGCAGCCCTGAGACCACTGTCCCCCCTCAGCGAGGACCTTCTAAAATGACTGCACACAAGAGTGAAAAACACTTGAAGCCTGAACCCTGGTGCAAAACGTGGCAAGCTCCCAGCACCCGAAGGAGGGAGAAGCACATGCAGGCAACAAGCTCYGAATGGAAGGAGCCCTGACCCCTGAGCTTAGAGGGAGGTATAGAGGAAAGAAGGTCTTACACGCCATGGTCCACGCRGTGCACGTTCTTCTCTCCCGCAAGCGCGTTTCAGGAGCGGCGCTCTCCATGGAGGCAGGCATCACAAGTGWCGGAGGGAAGAGCAAACTCCTCTCGCAGCCATGGGAGGTTCCAGTCAGGAACGGGAGGGAGGCCGCGGGGCGCGCGTGCCGACAAAGCCGGGCACTCTCCTCGCGGGGAGCCCTTCCCTCCGAGACAGCCGCCGCGCTTCACCAACTGGGGCTGCTCGCAGCRAGCCAGGGGTCGCGACTCCCCCCCCTCTCCCCACTTGGAAGGAAGTGACATCATCCTTATTCTGAGGAGATTGTCCGTGAATTGTGGGAAGGAAGACTGGGAAGAGATCCGCGCGCCCCGCCAGCCGTCCCCCCGGGAAGCGGGAGGCGGCGAGTGCYGCAGCGGGAGCCGGGAAGGGCCCGGAGCCCCGCGGGAAGCCCAGCCCCGCACGGCATCCCAGGCGGGAGCGCTGCCGGAGCGGCCACGGCGCTGCTCCCGTCCCCTGGCACGCGCTGACTGGTCAGGGGGAAGGCGCGCGGAGCGGGCACAAAAGGGGCACACAAGAAGGGGCACGGAGAGGGGAGGCTGTTCCCAAGGAGCGGCCTCTGCCGGGCCTTTTCAGCCCGTAATTCCCTGTGACATGCGACATGCTCTGCGGCTACGGCAGGATGTGGGGGAAGGGGGAGATTAGCTGTCTGAAGGGGAAGGCTTAGAGAAAAGAGCAAAGGAGAAGAAAAAACGCTGCAGCGAGACAAGATTGCAGCTAAACCTCGGCGCCTCAGTCTAATCCTACACCCTCCCATGCCTGTCATCAGCCTCAGAAGGCGGGCGGGCGGGCAAACAGAGCCGGGCTGAGCCGCAGCCGAAGGAAAAGAGCCCTCGGTGGCTGCTCCTGCAGGGCCACCACCCCCGGCAGCTCCCAAGCCAGCACAGAGCTGCCTCCTCCTCGCCACCCCAACACAGCAGCAGCAGCGCCTGCTGCCAAGCTCCCCGCACGGCCCCGCGGGCACCCGCGGGCGCCCGGCACCCACGCAGCCCGCGGAGGTGTTGCCACCGGCGCGACACCCGCGCGGGGCGGCACGGGCATCGCTGCCTGGCTCGGAGCCTCGCCAGGAGAGCGCACACACCKCAAGGAGAGGTCTTGAGGGCGACGTCTGAACCAAAGTACTTAATCAGAAGTGACCTCCCAAAAGGTCTTCTCCCTCCTGCAGCACAGCGTGACAACTGCGGACCCTCTCCTCCACGCTATATTCACGTGGTGGCGGGGCTCCCCGTGTCACACGGAACACGCTTCGTACCTTAGCTGTGTGTTTGCATTTCCTCTCCTCAAATTCTTTGTTAGGGTAARAGAAGCTCTCTCTGTCTCTTCAAGATGCTAAATGAAGAGTTGTTATACTGAAGAAAATCAAAGAAAAAAAAAAAAGAAATCGCAACAACGTTTAAAAATAGCCACATTTGTCAAATTTGAGCAAGCGAAAGCTGGTCTGATGAGCATGTCCAACCACACYGTCAGGGACCCTCACCTATCTGCAGGTTCACAAAACATCACCCCTTCCCCTGAATGATCCATCGCTCATGCCAAGGGTTGAGCCCCATTAAGGCTGCCCCTACCTGGGCACCCACGTGCCTGTTGTTCTCCCAAGCCTGGCCCACACCAGGTCTCCGGTTGGGTCATGCCCACCACAGCCTACAGCTCACCATGAAGTTATGTTTTCCTGTGAACATTTCCTGCTCTTGACGGAAATCAGCAGTTGGAACTTGGAGCAAAGTTACTTCACCAATCTTTAGGCAGCTATTTTTAAGGTCTTAAATGGCGCTCTTCCTGCTCCAGAGCTTGAAGTCTTACAATAGGGGAATTGTTCTTCCCTGGCAGGGAAAGGAGGGGATGTGACTTCTTTCTTACAGTGTCCTCAAGTTTGTCAGGAGTTAATTTGCTTGCACTGGAAAAAAGGGAAGAGATGAAGTCAAGATCATAGAAAACTGCCCCTCCAGGATGGGAAGATCTTGGAGTATCTCTGTGACAGAGGTGGACACCTACATGACATAGGAGATGGAAGACAGGTTCATAGRATAACAGGGAGGGCATTTCCAAATCACCAAAGGAGCATCCAAAATAGGGCCACCTTTTGCAATTGGCAGGATACACTGCGAGTGATATCTGCAAGAACTATAAGCAAAGACTATTTATTATATGTAATATCTAGGAGCTGTATTTACATCCAAGTCACAGATTCTCACCATGGGCATGAAGTTCTGGTACAGTCAGTGGGGGCTCTAATTTTGGCATACAACTTTCACACCTATTTTTAAGATCTCCTTTACAATCTCCCATTTTTCACGCAGAAAGAAATGAAATGAGACAGTGCTAGAGTCATGCGACTGAGCCACCACTTTTCAGGTTGGAGAAGGGAAAGGTTCAGAAAGCCTCTTGCGGCTTGGCACATTTCAGGCTCAGCTCCCCCAGGAGAAGGCCACTGCACCACAACAAGCTTCCTCCAATGTCACCAATTCAGAACCGATGTGATTTGGTCAGATCTGGCACCACGATGCTGCCCACTGACACAAATACCCCAAATATATTTTGGAGTATCAAGTGACCTTCAAACCCCTAGAGACAAGCGCTTACCTATACGCCCATCCAGCTCAAGCTGTAAATGCTGGCAAAAACACATCCTTGGAAATGGAACAGTGAAGGGCACAAGAATATATCGATAGTAACAAGAAGAGACTGGCCAGCTGGCCCAGTACACTGGCCCCTCTCCAACTCAGCTGATTCCTCCCTACTATTTTTTTCACAAAAACCCTTTCCTCAGGCTACAGAAGTACATGGAGATGTTTTCCGGCTGCATATGTTCCTTGCTTAAATTCATCCCCTTCACTCTCCCTTTACAGGCAAGATGGGGCAAYGGGAGAGCTACAAGGACAGGGTAAGAAGCTCAAGTCGGGATACATCCAGTAGGAACATGGAGAAGAAGTCCTGGATATGACTGTGCTGGGGAAGAACGTCCTGGATGTGACTATGGGAGCGTCCTCTCATGTCTCTTGTGAGAAACMTGCAGGCCTGACTACCTCCGTAAAACGCGTGCTGCCACTGCGCACGGCATAGGGAATAAACAGCTCCAGAGAGAGGGTGGGATCATTGACGCGACCGCAGTGCTGTCATGGGGGACTAGGTGCTTTTTAGGAAAGACAGGCCAGGAAGGCAGAGCTGAGAATCTGTGGGTAAGGATTAAGTGGCAGACTAACATGGGAGACACTATTGTGGRTGTTTACTACACGCTACCTG